AGTTAACTTCTGATAACGAGATTTCATTCAGGGATATGTAATCTGAATCTTTTCTGTTGAACTTCCTCTGACCTCAATAATATTTCGGTACTTTTCAGTTTCGCTGGCTCAAGCGATTAAGTCACCAAAAATGATACAACCAACGCCAAACTTAATGTTCCAGCTGGTAACTTTTTACCACCACCAGTTCAAAACAAGTCGCAGTATTTACTTATCAGTAGCATCTTTCTCATATCACTTCAAAAATAGATAAAGATCCGAAGAGAACATTTATATAACATTTTTTTATGTGTGTATATTGTATGTTGTCGCCAAAAAAGCCTGTTGGCGAGATTTGATCCGAAGAAATGGAAAGGTCAATATATATATATATATATATATATTTCCATATATATAAGAAAATTAACACATTCCTATTCTCAATAACATTTCCTTAAACCTTTTCTTTTTCAATAATAAGATGACTTTTATTTAAAGTTATTTTTGTTTGTCAGTTAAAGAGTTCATGAATTGATTTGACTAGAAGATTCTATATTTGGTTCAGTACACTTTATAACAATACAAGTAATCTAAATCCGCCATCCAGTAAATTTTGTTACATTAATTAGAAAGCATAATTATATTACTCATCTATTTCTTTCATATCATTTGATTACATGTCGGATATTGAAATATAGATATAAGGAATATTTAGTTATTTATATTTGCTCAAGTGGATGTGAAAAGAGTTGAAGAGTGTTTTATGTAAAAGATGAGGACTTGTATTATAAATGTGAAACCTTGCGTCTATATTCATTAGAGAATCAAGTACAATACAATATGTTTTTGTGCGGTAGATGTGGACCGCATAAAAATGAACCACACAAAAAAAATATTCGGAAATATATTTCACAATTTCGTCGAAATATTACAGAATTTTTTTTTTATGCGGTAGAGAAGGACCGCATGAAAAAAGTCGCACTTAAAAAATACGCCAATTATCTACGAAATGTATGAGAAAGTACTTCCATAACAAAATAATTAAATTACATTTGGAAACATTTTAAAACCATTTAGTTTCTCATTGTATACATGAAGAAGTTTTCAAAATGCACATATATAATTCACTTTTACTCATCGTAATCTAAAGCGCTCATCTTCCTGTGATGAATAAGTTCAAAATTGCTTTCGTCACTTGAAGACACAATTTCAGTTGATTTACTTTTTTGGCACCATAAAGTAAGAGAATTTTTTGCGAGAAGGTCTGTTGGTCAGTTGCTTGTTAATGTCACGGTAACCAAATTTACATGATCGAAGTTCTTTTTGAAATTTCATACTCCTTTCGGCATAGGTATCTATTTTAAGAAAATGCTTTTCCAATTTGTTGGAAAACTGTATCCCAGCATATATTTTGTCCCTTCTCAGAATCCGGTTCTTGGCCGTATAATAATCTATCAAATTATTGATAATGTCACTATGATTGAAAGTTTCGTCTTTAATCAAGCGTGAGCTGTTGGTGCGTTGAGAGAAAGCAACTAAATGTGCATTGTTGGGAGACCGTTTATAACAAATGAACAGAGTGTCTTAAATTTCATATTACATTACAGTGGCGTAACGTACACCCCCACAACCCCCCCCTTCGGGGGGGGGGGGTGCAAGGCCTGACTAACGCCAAGTACGTATTTATCCAATTTATAAAGTATTAAAGAAAAACCTGACTTTTCATAGGGGTCCTAACACTCTCCGTCACCACTGGTACATTGATATAAAACATTACAGTGGCGCTAAAGCCATCGAAATTCACATATACCGCATAGAAAAAGATCGCACAGAAAAAATCGCACAAAAAAGGTTCTGCGGTATCTTTAATTATTTTCTAACTTTTAGTGATGTAAAGATACATTTAATTTCCCTTCTGAAGCATAAATGGAAAATAAATCAAGCACATGCCAAATATATAAACAGTTCTTTTTTTCCTTCAATTCTATGTTCTTTAATTTTTCGTCATAGAAATACAAGAAAAAAAAATGTATTTTGAAATGAAGATTATTTTAAAATTTGATATCAGAGGAAGTGTAGAGTTAAATTATTAAATTAGATATTTTAAATATTCATGAAAGGAGGTTAGAAAATTACGTAATTTCGACTATATTTTTAAATTTAACTCTATTAGAATTCTGAATATTAAGTGTTATTTTTCTAAGATAAATTCATAGATTACCATTAGTTGAGGTAAGAAGACTCCAAATAATAATAATAATAACAGCTAATGAAGTTATAGTTTGAGGAAGTCATTAAATATTAAAATTAGTACCAGTGCTAGAATAAATGAATGACAATTGTCAACGACATTATTATTATTTCCGTTATTTTTTTCTTAACTGAATGCTCTAAACTTTTAATATATCAATGTTCAAGGTAGAAAAAAAATCAGCACGAAATGCATGCAACATTTATATAATTTTAAATCGATAATATCTTGTTGAGTAATCCTCATTTTCGGGTACATATTCTTGATCATCTAATCATAATATAATTTACAGAAAGAGGATACAGGGTATAAATAATATTATTATAATAAATAATAGAAATGTTTAGTAAGCAAAAGCTCTTATATTTTTTAAATTAAAAAATATTGCCAATCGCAGTATTTTGAATTTTACTCAAAATAAAATTCGATGCTTATGTTTTTAACCTTATGCCTTTGGTGAATTTGGTGAGAATTTCAAAAATATTTAGTAATTAACCTTAAAAGATTGTCAAAAAGGTTACCATAACACATAAAACATTTGGCAATTAATCTCTAATATGCAATTGATCTTTGGCGATAAATCGCCAGAGCTTGTGATTAATATGTCAGCACCAAAAAGTCTTTAGGAATAAACTTACATAATGTATATCTGTAAAAGGGGCTTTCTTGTAATTAGTTTAATAATGAATTGATATTAGTTTCCAATTTTACGAGACGAAATCATTATTTTTGGCTACTCAGATAATTTTATAACCATCTAGGAGAGCTAGAAGCATAAATTATAAATTTAGATAAACTGAAAAGAGTTTATTATATGTGCAAAATATTCTTTCATGAATGATGCAACTTTGCTTGTGAACAATATGCCATTTTATTAAAAAATACTATTTTAAATTATCATTTAATTTTTAGTGGAAAAATAAGTTGGAAAATCGGTGTTAGTTGAAATTTCTTTTCTAGAACACAATTACGACCCTTAAAGGTAACGGAATGAAATTCCACAGTAAATAGCAACAAGTCTCAAATATCAAGAATAAATATTTAGTGACTGAGAAAAGTATGGCAAGTAACTTTTAATTTGACTAGAGTTTTTTTTTTTTTGGTTCAAAATCCAGATATCGGTAGTACTCTAAAAATTTGTAATATTCTTCAAAAATTTAAATTTTTGAAAAAAATAATGTATACTTCATAAAAAATATAGTACTTAATTAAATTTTCAACGAGTTTCATTCAAATAAAATTCACTCGCCGTTTAATTCAAAAATGCATAAATTCTAGAAAAAATGCAGAGCATAAATAAAAATTTTATTACAATTCCACGTGATTATGCCATGTGAATTCATTATATTTCGTTCAGACAGGAATTTTCGGGTGCCAACGTCGAAGGCATTTATACCCAGATTCCGTTCAGAATCTTGCTTGTATGATGATGGAGCAGAGGGCATATATAATTCTCTTTCTCTACATACATTAGAGTGTCGCTTCAACTGCACTCTTAAATTTAAAAAATTAAGCTTGGATTTAATGAGTCAAAAAACGAAAAAGATAATTAATGAAATTGTTTAAAACATTGGTTCATTTTTCTATTATGTATAATGTAACACTTAAGTATATGTACAAGCTTAAAATTTTGTAGAATATCCTTTCGTTTCTTTTCTTTTTTCTTTTTTTTGGTACGGCCAAATTTTGAATCAGAATATTCTGAATGTATCAAAGAATTGAATTTATTGAATTTGTTGGCCTTAGAAAACTTACTTTGCTTTGTTTCTACATAGCATACAGGCCGAGTTACAATGAATTACATGTAGTTAGAAAAACCGAAAATGAGTCTTTAATCTTCCTGTGAACAAGGCATTTTTAAATTGTTCAAAATGTATCACGGCGAGTCTAATAACTTAAAATATTATATATGTGTTTCTGTGAAATTTTTTAGACCCGATACTTATATTATGTTCTAAGAAATTCACTAAAATCATTCTTACTCAGTGGCGCACACAAGGGGGGCTGGGGGTCCGGACCCCCAAAGCGCTTGATTTTTTTCCGATTGGTTATAATTCTAAGTATATAATACGTAAAATTTAATTAAATATTTGTTATTAATGATTAATTTTATTAATTAATGCTAATTATTTATTCAATAATTAGTTTTTTACTGTGTTTTGTTCCTGAAAATCGACAAAATCAAAAATAGCATGATACAAGAATGGTGAACTTTCAACCCCGGACCTCCCCCCCTTGAAAAATTCCTGTGTGCGCTACTGTTCTTACTGCATGAAAATTTTTTGAGTTATGGCCTAATATTTCAATAATAGCCTCAATATATCACATTTCTTATAATATTGACTCGATCAGCTCTAAAATCTTTTGATTTTAATAAAACATGAAAATTTTATTATATTATCTAGAGATAAAAGCATCTGTGTGATCTGGTTTGGTAATACTTTTATCGGGTGGTAATACTTATCTCTAGTTTATTACTTTGTTTTCAAAAATATTGCTTAAATTTCACGTTTAGTTGAGACTTTTGTAGCATTTAGATCATTTTTTTAAAAATATTGTTAGTTAAATATTAGTATTTATTGGTATTGATTTTTTATAATGTTTTAGTATGCTATGTTTCAATTCCTACTATTAGTTTTTTCTTTAACTTGTAGAGGATGACACTTGGTGTTAATACACTTTTTTCAGTAATTAAATTACAAAATGATTAAATAGAAACAAACAAAATAATAGTCCAACACCCTCTGCAGAAAGAAAAATTGTTCGTTGTGTCCATGCGGAGTGATGAACGGCGCGTTGGACTTCTAATCCGAAGGTCGTGGGCTCGAATCCCACCTGGGATGGCCTAGTTTCTGAGGATGTGATTTCTTTTTTATTATATTATTTTATTAGAATAATTAATTTTAATGAATGAATAAACAGTAACATAATTTTTTTAAAAAAAGTCCACTCAGACTTACTTGAACGTTCGCGAGAATGCCAGATGTGATGGATATGTTAGAGAGCAACATAGACTAGACTATTTTTTAATGACATTTGTACTTTTAGAAATAGATGATGAAGGAAATAAGTCTTTGATTAAATATCATTTTGCAATCAGTTCAATTTAAAAATTAGAGAAAGAAAAATTCGCATAATAATTAACCTAATACTTAAAAGTAATTTACTTAAAATATATATATTACTTAAGAGCATTATATACAAAATGTAATACTTATCTTATTAATTTGTACGGCTTATAATTTCGATCGTATTGTAGGTTTAACGTCAAAGTACATTATTATTGCATTCAATGTATTATTATTGCATAAGGGGGGCGCGATAAAAATTATGATTAAAAATTGGGTCGCCAGTGTTGAAAGTTTGAGAAGCACTGTACTATGCTGTTGTGTTTTGAAGCCTTTTTTTCGAGGTATTATCCCAGACTTTTTAAAAAAATAGTATACATCTAGAATTACAATCTTTTAGTTCATAAGGCATGTCATTCCTTTTAAAATAAACAGTATTTCGATAGGCGTAGAAGTAAATTTTTTTTTATGCTCATTTTTTTTCTTTTATTTTTAAGGCTATCGTTTTTATACTCGGCGTATTACGCGCACCCTTGCAAATTTCAATTTTATTTTTTTTGTGTTAAAAGTGCGTTTTATACGCCGGATTTTACGGTACTTGTTTAAAAAAGTACTCCGAACGTGCTCGGGTACCTTAAAATGCGTTCTAAAAGCTCGAAAACCGTTCCATTTACGATTGTTAGTAACTTTCTGGGTGCAGCGGTTGAAAATCGCTGCTTTAAAACTATTTTACTCATTCTGAGTTTATGAGACGACACTATTAGTCTGAATCTTTCGTTTATTTTTTTTACTCGTAGGCATATTTCGAATGGCACAAACAGAGCCATCTCAAGATTTGGACGCAGCCTTAATTTAGATGCCTCTTGCCGGCGAATGGTCCGCAATGGACAAGCGAATGATGGATGCGTTGGCCCTGATTGGCCTCTGTTACGAAGAGAGAGGGGGCACTCTACCCTTGTCCCCCTCCCCCTCCGAAAGGTTCCCAGGAGAGTTGCTGTTCCTTGTTTTTTCGTTCGCTCGGGAGAAAGAAGAAAAATAACAACTTGGTAAGAGAAGGAGAGGGGAGTCGTTTGGGCCTTCCAGATGCAGGGGGCGTTAACCATCCCTCTGCTTTGATTGACAGGTGAGAGGAGTTTTTTTTTCTTCTTTTCAAAAATTTTATTTTGGACGGGGGTTTTATTTTTCTGTTGGTACCGCTTTGAAAAATTGGATATTTTTATAATAAGATGATGAGGTGTTGGGAGTAAAGTGAATATATATTTATATATATATATATATTTCTAATGACGATATGGCGAAGATTTATTTATTTTTTTCACTGGAAAACTTTGTTGGATTTTCTTTTTTATACTCAAATTTTATAGATTTCGAATGTCGTTGAAAGAAAAAAAATTTAAAGTTCATGCATTTGAATAGAAATTAACTATCAGGTAAAAAAAACATGCTATTGGCAAGTTCAAAAGATTTATATTATTACTTTTCCCCTTATCATAAATCTGTTGCTTAAAAGTACACGATTTTAAAGTCTTCCTTTCGTGTTATTTGTGTTCATAAAAATTCGTTTTATCTGTTCATTTTTACGTACTATGAACATGTTGCTCCGTGACAAAAAATATCAGTTATGTATGACAAAAAGATTGGTTGCTATGAAAATATTTACTTAAGTTAACATCTCTAACACAAAATATAGAAGACAAGAAAGATAAGTAAAACGTAGGGATTCTGTACTCTTCATTTACTTGTATTTTCAGAACTTACTGTTTTTAGTTGTATTAACGTAAAAGTCATTGTTATTACTTAGCTTATTCCTTCACATTAAAATGCAAATACACTTTTATGATGAGTTCTTACCTATGTTATATTGATTACAGCAAACTATTCTTAATGTACTGGCGAGACTGTAGGAACTGGAAGCTTACAGAAAGATAGAAAACTAGAATATATCGAAAAGAAACTCGAATTTTACAGAATTTCTTTTTTTATATCATTATCTTATTAAATTTTTTAAAAAAATAATCGAAATTACTAGGAGCAGAGAAAAATGCCTTTTTGATACCTTAAATTTAAATGTAATTGTCAATTCAAACTCTGAATTTATAACAACGTACTTTCCAATTGTCATGTACATCTCTTTTTATTATGTTTATGCAGCTTTCGTTTACTTGACTTTTGCTCAAAATTCCGAGGTTAATCAGCAATAGCCCTTGTATAGCTTCAAAGTATGTCAATTATAAATAATTTATCTTTGTAAACATATTTATGCTTAAGATAACATTAAGTAATTTTCAATAAAGAAACTAACTAGCATTGCAGAATTGTATGAATTTGGCAAGGTGTTTTGAGCACAGAAAGAATACAAAATCTCTTATTCCTTTTTTTCACATCATGCATGATAACTATTTCCGTTAATGTCTGAATTATTTTTTGAATGTTTGATTTAGTAAGAATAATGTAATTTCATAAGTGATAAACCAAATAAAACTTAAAAAGCTATGTAGTTCATGAACAAAAGGTCATAAATTTAAACATGTCGCAGGAAAATGATGAAATTAGGAATCTTAAAGTGATCGTAAAGTCAAGTGATCTCTCCCTGAGGGAGATGATCACTTGGCGGTAGATGTTAAAATAACGTCTCTTCAAGGTGATTTCCCTGGTAAAAGTAAGGGATTTGAGCGAATCTCTGAGCTGTTTCAGTGAAATAATTAAATAATATTGTCAGGAGTTTAAAAGTGTTTATTTAACAAATAGGGTGCATTATTAAACGTATAGAAGTAAGTAATACAACAATAATCAATGAGATACAAATTATTTATTCGAAACTAATTAACAAATAAATAGAAAATTAGGCTGGTATTTTTTGACGTATAACATCTTTCCTCTTGGTTGCTTACGCACTAAAATATCAATTCCAATGTTAATCCTATGGTGCCAATTTTTTTAAAGATATGGGGTTGATATTTAGGGGATCGATAGTACTATCTGTATGTGTGGTTAGGAAGTACAAGGACTCTCCCCCCCCCCGCTGGACAGCCTTTTGCCAATGCAAATTCTGACTAGTTCATTTCATCATTTTACTGAAACAGTTCAGATATTTGATAAAATCACTTACTTTCATCAGGGAAATGATCTTGAAGAGACATTATTTTAACAGCTCCCGTCAATTGATCATTTCCCTTAGCGATTTGACGAAATTCCTAATTTCGCCATTTCCGTGCGACATATATATATATTTTAAATCTCATCGTTTTTATCAATAGGGGGAGTACTCAAGAAAGTAAAGAATACATCCTTAAATTTTTGACAATTTTTATAAGGACCAAGTTTTCCGTGTGATAGTTTTGAATGTTAGAGCCAAAAGTAGAGCACAGAATTTTTTTTTTTTTCATTTTTTAAATTTTATATAGATATTTCAATGTCATCTATAAACTCTTTTTCATTTCAGTAAATTCATTTTTAATAGCATCCAGCCAGAGGTAGCATAAAACAAAACATCTTGCCATGCCTTCGCCTTACGCCCTTTTTCATGTGATAATTTTAAACATTGGCCACCCATCAGTGGCGCACAGGAATTTTTCAAGAGGGAAGGGAGGGGGGTCCACGGTCAAAAGTTCGCCATTCTCGTACGCCCCCCCCCCTTCTTTTGGTTTTGTTGACCTTCGGGGCCAAAAAAACAGTACAAAAATTAGTTATTGAATAAATAATTAGCATTCATTGATAAAATTAATTATTAATAACAAATAATTAAATTTTACGCTACTATATACATAGAATCAGTGGCGCACACAAGGGGATCCTGGGGGTCCGGACCCCCC